CAGACAGACAGACAGACGTACATATGCACACACACATGTTAAGAAGGATCATTCTTTTTGGGTTTCCCAACTCGCACAACAGAACACATCGAGGTCTGGCGATGGGCTTTTGAGAAAGGTTAGAGCCTCTCTATGCTTCGCGGATTTATAGTTGTATCTTTGGCGGACCTTGTACTGGAGACCTGCAGCACATTGCCAGCGATCTCGAAGAAGTAGCCAACTCGGTTCCCGTCCTTTCAAACACCAGCAACTGTTAAACATCTGTTACGAGCCTGCTTGCCATTGGCAAGTCGAGGTCACGATGCTGGCTCGTGATGATCCTCATATTGCCATCTTTCTGCAAGTCATTGTCGGCCTTATTTCCGCCGGTGCAAGTGTGTGCTACGGTACAGGGTCAGTAGGTCTTGAGAGAATCCCAAGAGGAAGCATCTTCAGAATTCTTCAGATAGCTCACGTATTTTCTGCAGATGCTCACTCACACTCGGGCATATCCTAGGAAAAGCTCATCTCGCAGATGACGCTTGAAGAGAAAGCAGGTCAGCTCACGATTTTGGCTGACACAGTCCGGCCCTGCAATCCGGATATCAATCCGGAGGCAGAAGAGATTTCTCTTGTTTCATTATGGGGGCAAGAGGGTGAAGGATGCTAGAGACTGTCACAAAGTGTCACGCTTGTTCATCGTTTAGAGCCTGCAAGGTCAATCACCGGCAGGCTCATGAAATGGTGGAGCAAATTCGCAAGAGCCGAGTGGGGTCTCTCTTCAACGGTGTCGGCATCAAGGAGCGGACCCGAGTAAGATCGCAGCACCTCCTAGCACTCTCAGAGACTCACCCATTTATGGCATCAGTTCCCGCTTGGCCCGTCTTGCGAAGGAGGGCCGAGAGGCACAACGCCTCGCGGTCGAGGAGACGCGCCTGGGGATCCCCCTGATCTTTGGCAGCGTCGCTTCGAAGCACTTCGTGGCACTGCGCAGGGCCCAACACATGGTGGAGTGGACTTCTTTCTGTTAGGCTGTGAGCCCTCTCAGGATGTGATTCATGGCATGTGGACGGTCTTTCCCATCCCACTGGGCGAAGCGGCGAGCTTCGATCCAGACTTGGCATTCCAGACCGCGCGCGCGACGGCCTTGGAGACCACGGCCTCCGGCATTCACTGGACTTTTGCCGGACACTCATTCTTAGATTCTTGCTTTGCTTTGCTTGCCTTCGCCCCCTTGTCGGTGTACGCTTAAGACAGTCTGAGTCGAAATTGTCAGACTCATGCGGTTCTTGCAGGCACCCATGGTTGATGTCGCCAGGGACCAGAGGTGGGGACGAGTTGCAGAAGGTTCTGGAGAAGATGTCTTCCTGGGCAAACAGCTGGGAGTTGCACGAGTCAGAGGCTTCCAAGGAAATGATCTACGTGCTGAGGACAGCCTGCTGGCAACACCCAAGCACTTCGCTGCTTATGGAGGGGTTTCAGGAGGCATGGACTACAACTTCGTGGAGATTTCTGAGGCGACCCTTCGTGACGTGCATCTTCCTGCTTTCAAGGCTTGCATAGATGCAGGTGCTTTGACGTTGATGAGTGCCTTCAACGACATTGCCGGCGTGCCAGCATCAGGAAACCGGTGGCTATGTACGCAGGTGTTGCGCAACGAGTGGGGGTTTAAAGGTTTCATTGTGTCCGACTACACGGCCGATGAAGAGCTTATTTGCCATGGCTTTGCAGCAGATGGGCGTGATGCAGCTCGACTCGCGTTCAAAGCAGGTGTAGACATGAGTATGCAGAGCGGCTTGTATGTGCAGCACATGCAAGATCTGGTCGCCAAAGGGGATGTGTCCATGGAGGAGGTTGATGAAGGAGTTCGACGCATTCTGAAGATCAAGAAAGCCATTGGCCTGTTTGAGAACCCGTACAAGTGCTTAGATCCAAAGCTTGATGAGAAGATGGAAAAGCTGCGAGCAGCTCACGAGCCGCTGGCCAGAGAGGCTGGCCGCAAGTCAATAGTGCTCCTCAAGAATGACTCGAAAGTGCTACCTCTGAAAAAATCTGGACAGAAGATAGCCTTGATTGGGCCTTTTGCGACAGATACACAAAACCTTCAAGGTTGCTGGACAGTATACGGCGACAAGAAAAGAGCAGTTCCGCTGGATGTTGGCATCCGCAAAGCTTTGTCTAAGGCTGATGACCTTGAGATTGTGCAGGGCTGCGACTTTGAGACTGCTTTAGACGGAGGAGTTGAGAAAGCTGTGACGGCAGCCAAAAAGGCTGAGGTCGTTGTCCTCGCCGTCGGAGAGCCGGAGAATTTCTCTGGCGAGTCGCAATCCCGCACTCAGATCATCATCCCGCCAGCGCAGCAGGCTCTGGCCGAAGCAGTGTCAGCAACAGGAACCCCTGTTGTGGTATTGTTACGGACTGGAAGGGCGCTCGCACTCTACGGAGCTGTCCGGGACGCACAAGCGATTCTGGTCACGTGGTTTCTGGGCACCCAAACTGGACCTGCCATTGCAGACGTTCTCTTCGGTGACTACAACCCTGCAGGTCATCTTCCGGTCAGCTTCCCTGCGGACTCCGGGCAGCAACCCTTGTTTTACAACGCTCCGCGGACCGGACGCCCACAAGGCGATGGACCTCGCACCTTCAAAGCGAGTTGGAGGGAAGTGGCGAGCAAAGCCTTGTATCCGTTTGGCTATGGCCTGAGCTATACGGAGTTTTCTTTCACCAAGCCAAACCTCAGCACCAACAAGCTGGGCTGGGACCAGGCGCTTCAGGTGACCGCACAGGTGCCTGTCTCTGTTTGAGTCTGGCATCTAGGGTCTTTTGCTGCGCCGCTGCACTTTAACCTGTGACATGCGCCATTTCGAAGGTGAGCAATACCGGCAACCTGGAAGCAGCCAAAGCGACCCACTTGTTGGGATCCAAGAGTGCCCGTTGTGCCGGCTGAAACCTTAGGTGCGTTGGCTGGCGAGAAAGTAGCGCAGCTGTACGTGCACGACTGTGTTGCAAGTCGGGTGCGTCCGGTGCGAGAGCTGAAAGGTTTTCAGAAGGCCTGGGTCGTCATTTGTGTGAGCATTCAGACGGCTGTGTGTGACAGGTGCTCTTGAAAGCTGGCGAGACAAAGACTCTCACGTTTCAGATCTCAAGGCAAAGGGCTTCGTTACTGTAGTACTCGATGTGCTCGACATTCTATTTCGAAAGAAGCTCAGGCACGACCTGGCTTTCCACGGGGCTGATGGCAAGCTCGTGGCAGAACCTGGCGAGTTCCACGTTTGGATTTCTGGCTGCTCAGTACGGCCCTCAGACGCCCGTCTCTGGCAACTTCTATGTCCATGGGGTGTGCTGAGCTGCTGACTGTTGGCTGCAGGCATCTGGGGAACACGCGAAGTTTGATTTGCTCGCACCTTAAAGCTGCAGCCCCGAATTCCGGGGTGCAGCGACGAGTTTGTACAGGTCTTGCAGCATCGCGCAGCATTGGCTGTTCCGGTCCTGCCTAATCAATTCACTATTGTCGTCGACCTCTTACAAGGGGCACGTCTGCAAGCTTGCTCTTTTGAGTGGCAGCTAGCCCGCCCAAGCCGGCCAGGCTTCGTGACAAGCTTGCGAAGGAAAATGCCCTTTCGGAGTCTTTCCGATGTTTTGGTCGTGTCCTAGTGCCGCAAGGTGCTGAGGGGCGGCCGCGCACTCTCGAAGGCCCCACACAAGAGTTGAGGATGCATTTTAAAGAAAAGAGACCTTGAGAGGCAAGAAGACGCAGTCATATTTGGGAAGGCCAGGGATGCCCAGAAAGGAAAGGCACGCAGCCAAGTTAATTGTTGTTTGAATTAGGGTGGCTGGTGCCACAACTGCGGCGCGGCCTGCTCGCTTGCTCGCTTGCTCTGCTGTAGGTTGCTGACTGTCTGCGTCGAATGAGTCACACACATGCTGCACGCCAGGTCTTGACCGAGGCTTCAGGCCTTCTGCTGGAGGAGATTTCCGGTTGCAGCATCCCGAGGGCGATGATCTGCACATGAATCGAAAATCCCATGAGCCCAATGACTCGCTCTGACAGGTCCTGTTGGTGTGCAAACCTCGGGAATTCGACCGGTAACTGTTCGGCAGATAGAGTTTCAACAACAAAACTCAGGTGCCGGAAGTACCGAAAAGCACCCAGAGGTGCGGGTCTGGACTTGGGCATGGGCGATCTAGGATCAGAGAAGACAGGGAATTTGGCTTTGAGTATAAATTGCACAGGTTTACACATACTCCTGTGCAGAGGCTGAATTTTCATTGCACGCCGTTCGGGCACTTTGTAGCACACGGAGCGAATGCTGGCAGCTGCTCTGCCTGGCAGAAGCAATCACACATGACCTGGCAGGAAAGCCAGCTTCTCGCAGAAGGCTTGCGTTTCTACAGAGGTTAATCTTCGTTCCAACTCTCATTCCAAGCCCATCTGCAAAGCGAGCATGGCTGGCGAGATATCGTCTCCGAAGCTTTGCCACGTGCTTTCTTGCAGGGTTCATCAGCAGAGTTGAAGAGCTTCGTCGCCGGCTGAGAGTGCAGTAAACAGCAACACATGTCTGAGAGAAGCCAGAGGTGCTTGGCGAATCTTTGCCAAGTTGTTTACCACCGTGTCTAGGCAGCCAATGTGGGTCGCCCGCAGAGCAGGGAGCTTAAGGAAGCTGCTCACACGCCGGCAAGAGTGGCCGTGTCGAGTGGTACAACACCTTGGGTGCTTCCTCCGCCATTGCACGCGCTGTTTGTTCCACTCGCGTGCGAAGGCTTGAGCGGGTCGGGAGAATCACTGAAGGTCTACATGGGTCTCGAACACACGAGTTAAGGCCCAGCATTGCTGAAGAAGGCTCAGTTCCTGAGATTCAGAACTTCATCTACTTGCCCCCAAACTTGGTCGCCGTGGGCTCGCTGAGACCGGACATAACGACGAATGCACGGAAATCTTTCCAAATGCCAGAAGCCACAAAGATAATGACATGGAAGAACGTTGAAGATGGTGTTGCTGATTGGGTTGGATCTAGGCTAATCTCGGGGATGTTGGAGGCTGGTTGCTGCCAGCGAACAGTGATTGAATTTGTGTCGGATGGCCAAAAGAAAGGTGGTCGGGGCCACGCAAGTGCGCACCCGTGCAGACACCGAGCCGGACAGTTGAAGCAGATTGGCAGCCTTCCTTCGCCGTCTGGCCAGAGAGAAAGGTCGTGCTGGAGGGAACCCAAGTGCTCGGACACGGCACTGGGCCTTTGCCCATAACATTTTCACATCAAGGCCGCTTGTTCATGTGTTGCGCTTCTCGTGTGCTTTTTGGAGCTGTCTTCCATGTCCTCCAAGATCGTGTCCACTTTGGCTAGTTTAGGTGCTGCGCGATCCAAGACGTTGCTGCTGATGGACAGGCCTGTGGCAAGATCCTTCCCATCCCCGCATCCCCGAAACTGCTTCAACATGGATCAACCTCCCTGCAACCAATGCCGCATTCTACCTTGACTCTACATGCTGGAAGGCCTCTCAAGCGAGAGCGAAGGGGTCGAGCGGGGGAGTTTCGACAGCGCTAGGGCCCCGGCAACTGGCTTCGAGTTGGGCCGTGACTGCAGAAGTCGGCCTAGGCTTGGATGTGCTGCTGGCTACCGACTCCAGCGCTCGGGCTGTTGCCAGTCAGCCTGGTTCATAGCACACCAAGGAACGCGAATCAGAGAGTCATAGCAGTGTGCTGTACCTTCACCAAAATACGCGAGTGCAGCGTGTTACTTGTAGCACTTGGCAACCTTTTGCACGTTCGTTTGGCTTGGAAGACGTTGCCTCTCCCCTTTCCAGAGACTTCCGCAGAAAGATGGCGGATGCTCGCCTGCAGTTTGGCATGGTCGCAACATTGATTGCTATTCGCTTGCAACTTGGGCCATCGCTTGATTTCAGCCGACTGAATCCAATCGAGGAGAAGGATCTGGTCCGCAAAGCCTGCCTGAAGCGGGGCGTCAGGCCTGACAGCATCGTCTCTAAAGTGACCTTCGACGTGGAAAAGGCAAGGAAAGCCAACAAGGCAAGCGGAGTAAGAGGTACTGTTCGATGTGGCTGTGTTTGGAGAGGACAGCGTAAGGACGAGATGCCGTATCGAAACGATAGCATGCCCATATTTGTCAGCAAAGGAAGAGGAAGCATCGGCAATGCACTCTCGCCCTTCAATGTGAAGGTTCCTGGCAAGATGATGAGTTGGGCGACAGAGGATGGTAAGCAGGGAGGGAAGCCACTGCCCATTGACCGGCCCCTGGAACTCGTTTGGCAGGCAGCCAAAGTCTCCGAAGGAGAGGACTGGCCCTCCTACTTTGCGCGGCGAGCAAAAATCTATCAAAAGGGAAAGCCTCAAAGATGCTATTTGGCTCGGGATGCAAAGATCGCGGGCTCCTGCTTCGGCCTTCCTGAAACTGTTCCTTACGTGCCTTCTAGAGCCTTCTATTGCACCGCCTATGAAAGAGCCTTGTCCGGCCTTGAAGAGTTCCAGCTCCTGGAAGACCTGGTTGCTGAAGGTTTCAACCTGATGCTCCTGGGCCCCGATGGGTTTCCCATGTCCGAAGAGAGAAGTGCCATCGCAAAGGCATACAAAGATGGATCTCGGCCGTTTGGACATGAGCGTGTCTTGGTCGCCATGCTGCGGCAAGAGTACCCATGGCAGCGGGAAGCTCGCTGTTGGGTTGAATGAGCCACAGCGAGCCGAAATGGCTGGTACAGTGTACAGACGTGTACAGCAATCAGGCCTGAGCATGAAAGTTCTCTTGCCCTGAAGTGCGTGTGCAACACACGAAGTACTAGATAGGGCCACGGGGAAAGAGTGAGGGTTCGTGAGAGCAGTGTCCACGAGCTTGGAAGTGGCAACAGTCCGAGGCTTTACGACCGCTTCGATGGGGACCTCAGCAAGCTTCCCGCCTTGCTGCAGCTGCTGGAAGACAGGTGCGACCTGATGCCAAGAATAATTCCTCGGCATCACAAAAGGCAGCAGATGAGTCAGCCTCTAACATCCAGACCGTCAGGTGGGAGTTCCCTGCCAGGGTGTTTCCGCTCCTGTGGACGCACATACGGCGGGCCTCTGGCCGTTGCTAGCTCAGTGTCTATGCAGCGTGGAAAGGTTTTGATCCTGATGTGTGTTCGGACGTTGCTGTAGCCATCTGTCTTAAAGCAGCGCTCAGATTTCGAAGCTGTGCTCTGGCGCTTTGCTTCGGGGGGTCCGATGCGAGGTGCTGAAGATCATAGCAAGCCACTAAGTAAAGACGACTGGGCTGGAGCCTGAGCGCATGAAATGCAGGCAGTTGTCCCGTGTCCCCCGTACGAGTGCTGCACAGTGCTACGCGGTCAGTTTCTTTTGTGCTGCACATTATGACATTGAGAGCAGCTTTAATTGCTGTCAAAAGTTGGATCTATGCATGTTTCTGCCGAGCATGGCTTCCACAACTCTCTTTTGGAAAGCAGCTGCCGACATGCGCGACCACGTACCAATGTTCTCCGAGCTGTCGTGTGGCTCGGAAAACGATTGAAACAGTAATAAACGGGTGCACTAGCATTCGTACATCTTGCAACTCTCCCAGTGAGACATTACTATCCATTCGCAGAACTAGCTTTGGGTTCACTCAGCAAACACAGCCATGGCGGCTAATTCAAAGGAGAGCGATGTTGCAGAGAAGTGCCTTGTTGGCAACCGGAGCAGCAAACTAGAAACTAGCTTAGACTCTGCACGGCTCAGCAAGACTGGGCGATTTCGGGAGTTCGGTCTCACTCGGAGCGACGAATAGTCAAACCGCTTCAAGCTGGCACCACGAAATTCTTCAAAGCAACGTTCCAGGAAGGCTGCCATGAAGAAGCTGTACATTTCAGCGTTCCTAAGCGTGGCACAGACAGTCATCACCATTCAGTCGGAGCCACTGCTCGTCAAGGACCTAAGTTCCCCAGTTTACACAAACCTTTCGTGCCATGTCTGGCTTTGCAATGCTTTGGCGATCTGTTGCAGGAGCTCGCTGGTGGCGACGTAGGGCTCACTGCCAAGCTGCTTGCCAACACGCAAGGCTTCGTTGGTGTGCTGGGCATCATTGTGAACCAGAGACTTTGAAGGCACGTGGGTTCGCCAGGTTTTCTTTGCCGTGCTGCAGATGCCTGGTGCCACAGATGTAGACGAACTCTTTGCAGATTGCATTAGCTGTGACGACGAACTCAGGACCGGTGGCAAATTCTCCGATGCCCTGGGAAGAAAGCAATTTCTTGCCCTGGGGCCCCTGGCAAACGTTCTGTTCGGCAGCTAGGCAGCATGCCATAGCTGTCCGGCATGGTGCAGATCCGGCAGCACTGCACTGCCACCCTGCACTGTGAGTCTCTGCCAAGGCTTGATGATATTTCGAAACTCCCAGAAGCTCAGGGTAGTCTTGCTGACGGCTCAGCAATCAGGCCAAGGTTTCGGGAGAAGGATTGGGGCATTGCCCGATGTGAGGCCGGTGCGGGTTCTAAGAGCCATCCTGACCACGTTCTCGAGCACGGTGATGCTTACAGCGGCCCTGTGCCTTGGCAGAGGTTCCCTCTGGGGGCTTTTGATCAGTGAGCTTGGTTGGGTCGTTTCTTGCGAGCATGGCGGCAGTAGCTATATTACAGCTATGTGGGATTCATGGCTTGGATTCCAGGTGAGGATGCATCACCATGCAAGCATGTGGACATATTGGACAAAATGATGAAACATCACTGCACGTCAAGGATTGCCAGACTCGGATCAGGACTAAAACTGATAGCATAGGTCGCGCGGCAGTGCCGACGGCACTTGCAAGAGACTGGGAGACTTGGAATTCGAAGCAGTTTCAACGTTGTACACACAGCCGACAATCACGCAGTGTCACACATCCTCGACTTGGGTGGTGCAGAAATGCAGCACTGTGCAGTGCAATCTCGTTCAAACTGCTCTGGGGCGAATTGAGTTTTGCCACGGCATGGAAGACAATCTGCAGGTTGACTGATGGAATCGTTTAATACATGTCGTGCTACACCTTGCAACGCTCCGCGAGAGTCAAAGATTCCAGGTCAGACGTGGCCCAGGGCGCCGAGCTGGGCGCTGCCTTGAGCAAGATGGGCACCACGGCACAATCTCGAAGCTGTCAAAGCCATGCCTCCAAAAAATGATGATCCGAGGGGCTGCTGTCGGTGCGGGCATAGTTATTACGCCGGTTGTGGACTGCCACTGCCTGCGCAGCACGATAATTTCGAGCCTAGTCTGTTGAATGTTGTTTGGAATCTGAGCGTATGACGAAGGAGGCTCTCTTCTTGCAAAGATCCAAAAGCCCGCGAACGGCGTACTTGGTGCACCTCGTTTGCAAAGCCTGTCATTCGGCAGCCGACAAGCGCCACGTCGCCACATGCTCACGTCGCTGCGTGCTCTGTGGGCTCCACCTCATTCAGGTTGTCGGCACTGGGATGCGTTCGCGCCTTACCCTATGATGCCTCGGGAGCAGAGAAGGCCCAGCAGAGGCATCGGTGAGTTGGGCCGAGGTGCATGCGGCATTCGTGGGGTTTTCGGTGCCGGAAACGCTTCGATGCGCACAGAGGAAGACCCTGGCATCTGCCATGCAGTGCTCTGGCTTCGACCATGCACTACTGTAGACATCCCCGTTCATGCGGCGTGTATCCAAAGTGCATGAAGAGGCTGTCTTCTATCAATCCGTTTGGCTTCTTGTGCCTGCGTTGCAAAGCTACACGGTGCTGCACATGTCTGCGAACGAAGAGCATCGTCCGTGTGTTTTTCCTTCTCAGGAACATCTTCCGAAGGGGATCTGTGGGCCTGCAGAAGATGATCTGTATTCAAACCTTGCAGATGTTCTTAGAGGGGAAGAACTTGAGCGACCTGGTGGAGCTCTGGAAAAGGGAACATCTCAAGTGGACCGTGGAGGGAAGCCGCAACTTTGTGATGATCTATGGCATGCTTAGCATCCTTTCTGGTATCTATGTGACTCCCTACTTCCTCAAAAACCTCAGTGCCCGCGGCTTCACATCTGCAACATGGCTTTGAGTCCAGTCCTAGGAGATTCATCTGTCACTTCACGCAACTGTGATGGTCCAGTCCACCTGTGCTGTCGAAACTGTCTGCCGACAGTGTCTCTGGTTCTCTGGTCTCTTGCATGGTCGGCTGCGAAGTGCAGTGCAGGCAACAAATCTGCTGAATCTTTTGGGATTCCTGCTACGTGGTGCCAAAGAGCAATCCTGGATCTTCTTGCTGGCGATCATTCCGATGTTCACGGACGGCATTATATTATATAAGTCGGACTTGAACCGCAAAGGCAAAGGACAAGGAAAGCCGACAAGCTGAAATCGTCTCGGCCGAGGCTTCCAGGCGTCAACGGCGCTAGTGCCACCGCCCTGAAGTCCATCAGTGCCGACCTGGCCACGTCTGAAGGCTTCGGCAAAGGTTCGGCACCCATACACCCAAACGAACCATGTTCTTGGCAAAAGAGTGCAGCTGTGCGAAGGTGAGTTCTCCGCCTGGACCAACAACCTGCGTGCCTTGGCTGGCGCGGTTGCAACAGTGTCTTGCCTGAACGCTGGGCAGCTCTGAGTGCCCATTCCAAGTAGACAAGCTTCTGCATACTAATGTTGGAATCATTGTACGCTTCTTGGAGCTCAGGTGTTCTACGGGAATTATTATTCCTGGTGCAAGCGGACTGGAGCACGGCCTGCAAAGAGCCAGGCAAATTCTTGTCTTCTTTTTTTGATTTCTGGTGGCGGTTCCCTGTCGCTTCTTTCAGGAACTCCCGCAGGGACCACCTTTGCCCTTGCGGGTCTCGTCGGAGCAGCGCTCCCAGAGCTCCTCCTGCGTCTCACAAGGGACAGCACCTCGGAAGAACGCAGATCGCTTAAAACCAGGGGCCGCTCCGTCTGCTGGGTTTTCTGCCGGGGGTTCTGCAAGGCGAAATCCAGAGATCGAAGCAAGAATCACCTGCTTAGCTGAGTGCTGGGCACCTGGAGATTTTATCCGTTCTCTACAATCCTCGAGCATCTCCAGCAGCGTGCACATACGCTCGGCCTGACACGCCGATGCACGGTGACAAAAGGTGCTTTGGGCACTTAGCATTGGTTTCCGATCCTGCGTTCGCCAGCCCATGCATCGAGCACAGTGGCCTGGCTGAGGGTTCGCAAATGTTGGAAGTGACATCTTCAGGCTGCAGCTTTCGACAACTGGCTGCAAGCGCTGAGAACCCGGTGTGGCTACTCCAAGGCAAGATAGTGCCTTACCACTGGGGAGAGACATTGCACCAGCTTGTTCCCGTTTCTGTGCTTGAGAGACAGCTACTGCGCTGCTTTTTTGGCTCAAATTCAGGTCTTTTTTATTGGGGGAGAGAGCACAGAACGCTTTTTTGTGTGCAACAGCTTCTGCCAACATGCTGATGCGGCTTGACGAAGACTTGGAAACACTGAGTTAAGCGAATGGATGTTGATCGGTCAGTCTACGGCCCTTCAGGATGCACCAGGAATCGATCTACAACATCATCCCACCAAAACCGGTTGCACAGGCCGGAGTGAGTTAATGTGTTATGCCCTTTCTCCCCACGTTCGTCAACACATTACAGCAGCCTAAATCTACCTGATCTGCGAGACTTCGATGCTTTCCAGTGATAGGAGCGCCCGCCGATGTACAAGTCCAAGAGCCTGAGCTGCACGACAGGATCTCACCCCTGCAACCCCATCCTATACAGTTTCGCTGAGCAAAGGCATTCCTCCGACCTTCCTCCGACGGCTTCCACCTTTGCAGCAAAGGGAACAACTTGTCCAAATGTAAATGCCTCGGCTCTGACACAACAGCCGGCTTCAGCACTTTTTACACCATCCAGAAGACTGAAGATTAATGCTTCCCGAGGTAGCCAACATTGGTGGTGGACTGGACAAGAAGATCGGCGCTTGGTTTCTGTCAGCTCGCAAGAACTTCATGCCAGACACATCAGACCTAGGCCAGTTGCGGATAAGTCCCACTCGTCGTTCGGGAAGCCCAAAGGGCACTACTGTCCCTGGGTTGCAAGCGTAGCGCCTTCGAAGCTTTCGAAAAGGGCTTGGCGCACAGGTGATGATCCAGGAAACTTTTTGAAAAAGAGCGAGAAGACGGGGGGCAAGGCCCCCGATGGCAGTCCTTGTAAGCACTGCATTGCTTCTGCAATGATGTAGATTTTAGACCTCTCATTCTGGAAGCTGTCAGGTACTCTCATTGAAAGAAATGAAGAAAGAGCATCCCGAAGCCTTGCTTCCGACGCAGCTGAATCTCGGTCATGTTGTTTGCATTGCAGTGGGCATGCGGGGAGTGTCTCCGGCATCCTGAGGAAAGAGCAAACACGTGGAGGAGTTCCAAAAGCCTCCGAACAGCCAGTGATGAATCTGGTGACCAGCAAGAACTTCATCGACACTTGCATGCACACAGCATGGTAGGGGCCTGGCCAAGTTGGGCCTACTGTTTGGATGTGCTCTTTGCATGGATCTCGTCCTGTGGTATCAGGTAGCGAATGCCGTGGAGGTGATCCTGGCAGCTCCGAAGAAGGTGCCAGAGGGCACGAAGGACTCCTGTAAGTTGTGTGACCGGCAGCATGGGCTGGGTTCGCCGAAGCGGAAGAGGTTGTGCTTCCACAGAGATGTGCAGGATTATCTCAAGAAGGAGGATTATGGAAAGGTGCCGAAGTACTTGCAGAACATCAAGCAGGAGTTTAAGTTGCGCAACATCTACAGTTCGGAGAAGCGTGGCCAGCATTGCCCCGGCCAGGATATCGAGGCAGAGTATCAATACATCAGGCTGGCTCAGGGCTGTCTCAACTTGTTTATACCGGCCTTCATGACACAGACCTGTATCTGAGCTACAGACTTTGGCAAAATCAAACCCAACCATGTCGATCAGGGCCCTGCAGGAGCAGCAGGAGCAGGCGGAGGCCAGGCTTTGTGTTCGTGGCCACTGGCACATGCCAGCTCGGGCATTGATGTTCTCACTCTTTCTGGCCGTTGCTGAAACTGAAAAGGTTTCTCTGTATGCGCCATACGCCCTCGCACCTCATCTCTTGTCAAACCCCAAGAGCCAACAAGACATCATCAAGTGCGCACGCCGGAGGATGGGCCTGTGAGCCAGAGTTGTGCGTATGCTGGCTGTCTGTGTACGCTCTTTATCCGTGTAATACGTGCTTTCCCCGTTGGGCGTGTTGTCCAAAGGGCGTCTTCACATGTCTTCATGGTGTGGCCTGTATGCGCAGTGGCGTCAGCGTTGCTGTCTAAAGCGGCGTGCTCGTGCCCTTGCCGTCTGAATACAGGGTCAACGTTGATTGGCGGCTTGAATCTTTCCAGACCTCAGCAAAACCAGGATAAACCAGGTGTGCAAAGGCAGGGTTTGCGAGTAGCAACAGGCAGCTCTGTGTAAAACGCAGCCCACTCGTTTCGATGCCTGGGCAGCTCATAGCAGAGCGTGCACTTTGCGGTTTTCGCGTGTTTCAGGTCTCGCGCGACGTGCAGTTGTGAAATGTTGGGCTAACCCATCGTGTACTTGCGGTTTTTGTGCATGTGCATTTTTCGCTTGTTTGAGTGTATTGTTGCTTCACTTGTGTGAAGAGTCTCGCACCACGTGCAGATTTGACACATCGGGTGGTGCTGCTTCAAACCTAGCGTGTACTTCTGTTTCCACTCGTTTCAATGCCTGGGCATCTCCCCCTAAAACACAGCGCTCACTTGCAGTTTTCGTGTGTTTCAGTGCACTTTTGCTTCACTTTGTACCAAGAGTCCAAGAGTCTCGTGCTGCTCTTGATGTGCTGTGCAGCCTTCGATTTGTGTCTTGAGTGCGTGCTTGGCGAAGTCGAGCGACTCAACGGGGAAGGGCTGTTGCCACCGATGTGTGTCTGAAGCTGATGCTTGCGATATCGAGCGTCTACAGGCTACAGGGAGAGTTGATACTTTTGATGTGCTGTGCTGCCAGCCGCAGTTGTCCAGCCTACATTGGCAATTTTACATTGTTTTCATCGTTTTCCTAGCGAGTGCGCTGAGAACCCTGCAAATGTCACTGTTATTGACACCGGCCGTTGCAAAGCTTTTTCTCAAAATCGGGCATGTAGTTGGGGTGGTTGTGCTTTTCACTTGCCGGTGGTGGTTTAGGGTGGGGGACTTGTGGCAGCCTGTCAGCGAGAAACTGAAGGCCTTTGCGAATGTACGACACAACATCTGGTTGTAGTATGATTGTGTTCGGCACTGTTCGGCATTGCTGCTTGCCGCTTTCAAGGCCAAATTATGTAAAGCATGCTACCCACAAGGTTGATGCGGCGATGCCCCACGTCAGGTCAGAGTGCTGTCCGCACTACATGCCATATTGCAAACGTGAAGCCTGAACACATTCGTTTCCTTATGTATGCCCGATGTGATTCGGAGTAACCTGTCCGAAGCCAACATGGTTCAGAGGCGAACGGCAAACGCTTCACACCTTCGCGTCGGTCCTGTCGGGCGCGGCCGGATAGGTAGAAAAAGGGAGAAGGAAGGACGGCCGGGCGGGGAGGCAGGTGGGCGCTGGAGTCAAGTCATGCTTTGAAGTCCGCAGGAGGTGGGCCAAGGGATCGGGGGTCTCACTGGGGAGGGGATTAAGAGAGGAGAAACGGGGTTTCGTGGGCGAACAAATGCACGATGCGTTCACATCACACTTGTGTGTCTGGAGGGTTGCTTGCTTCATCGACAGGACGTTGGAAACTTGCCGTGACACTGCAGGCAAAGGTCGCCGCATGGAGTACTTAGAATCCAGCAGTATCGCAGAACAACATCTAGCAGCATTATATTAAAATGGCCAACAATGGTATTGGAACGGACATGCGATTGTCCATTACGAGTAGAAGAAGACTGTCGCGACAGGTAGACGGTAGAGGAGCTTCGAAGTCGAAGAATAATGTCAACCAGTACAACACACAGCACAGCACGAAAGAAAACGAAGTGGTTGCTTTAATTAAGTATGTCAATGCACACGCCAGGTGTAACAAGTGCTACTATATGTATGCATGCATATGTAATGTATCTTGAATTACATGCCCACTGGTGTCTAATTGTAAAACACGCCATCTCCGCATTTGGTCTTAAGTCAAGTCTCAGTCCCTTGGAGTCGACCACCCTCATTCTCATTCCGAACAGGCTGAGCGAGTTCGGCCCATGACAGAGGACGAGCGCCAAAGCCTTCTGGAGGGACTGAAAGCCAAGTGGGAGCAGGTTCGCGGCCGGTTCGCCTTGCAAATCGTCCGAGTCGTCACAAGATGTCATAAGTCATGTTCAGCACGGCCCGAATTCCGATATCCCATTCTGCGAGCGTCGGGGACGGGAACCGTCAGGTGAACACAGCATATCAAGGCGGCACGCACGTGACCAACTTGGTGGGAGCTCCAAGTTTGCCTGTTCAGCGACTATGGATTGTGCTGATGTTTGTTCAAGCCAACCTCTGCCAGCCTGAGGACACGATGGGTAAGCTGAAGCGGAAGGAGCAACACGAGGCTGAACTGTCCCAGCTCGAAAAGGACATTGCCACTCGGACGTGGTATAGTTCCAAGTGCTGTAGACCTGGACGCCCAGAAGATAGGCCTCGCAATTCAGGAAAAGCTCAGCAAGAGGAGCATCCACATCAATTCAGAAGCTTGCCTGCACTATGAGCCCAGAAAGAATGTGACGGTGTGGACTTGTATGTACCCTTCGTCGGCTCCCTGAGTTCTGCAGGAAGCCTGAGTGCCTGCACATTTTCCTGGAAGGAGAAAAGAGTGCAGAGTTCATGTTGTGGTTTCACGTTGTCTCACAGGTCCTACCTCTCCGAGGACTAGGCTTGATCCTAGAGCTCGAAGATGTATATGCATAGCTAGTACAATAATCGCAAGCAGAAAAGCTGCCATGCCAGTCTCCGTGGCTTCGAAGAAGTCTATGGCAAGGTTGCGGTATGTAAGCCGGTGCCGAGGTGCATTTGCTTTCAGCGAGGAGGAAGAAAACTGCTTGTAGCAGCACGCAAGCGACCCGTCACTGATCCTTTGCTGCTTTTTTCTACCATCTCTGGTCAGGTTTCCAGGCAGTGCTTGGTGCACACGCGCCATGGTGATGATTGGAGCAAGGCGCCAGGGTGGGTCAAGTTGTGGGCCAGTCTGATAATACTAAAACGGGGAAGGTCAAACACACCCGGTTTTGTAAAGTTTCAAGCAGCTGCCGTTCGAAGCCGCATTCTGATGCACAGACGTACCGGGACGGCAGATGGCTGTAGCGTTGCCAACGAAAGTAAACATGCAGGCTAGGATTTTCAGTTGTGTCGTGAAAACGTGCTCATGCGAAACACGGATGGAACTTGCTGGAGCAAACCTGGACAGGCATTTTCCTATCCACTGTCAGTTACCAGAACCAAGCATTCATGCATGGATGAGTTGCCTGATCTTGATGTGGAGTCTAAAGTACGTCGAGATGAGACCGTGAAAACTCCAAGGCCACTTTCTGTGCAGGATTCCTTTCACGGTCGGGGTGGGCTGTTCCTGGCCTTCCAAGCGTCGCATGTCGGATTTTCGAGGAGCCCCCGCTTATCCGGTTATTGAATGACGGTACAACAGTGGCAGATGAGGGCTTTTGGAGCGACCGGCGATCAGAGAACATGTTGCCTTACCCGTTCTTCAGCAACAGCGTTGGGCAAGCCGGACCAATCCAAGTTTGCATTTCTTGTCTTCCCATCATGCGACATTGTGCACGGCGCGTTCAAACGTTCTAGGATCGCAAATGGTCGAGTCCCAGATGAGGGGCAGGGTTGCATTCGGTGTTTCCGCTTTATGCCTCACCTGACTGTGGGTCAAACAGCAGGGGTGGGGTTTCAGGGAAGGGCCGTGGCTTCGAAACATCCGGGGTCTCAGTTGATTGGAGGAATTCGAGCTCTCAGTTCCCCATGGTTTGTCCTTGTTTGCTTCTCGGAGACCGCGTCAGGTCTACCTGAAGGGGGCAAAGCTTGGCGAGGCATCGCTCGGCGGCACTCTCGCATCTCTTATATCTTCTGCTATTCGAGAGAGCCTTTTTTGTGTTCTCTTCACAAAGCGTTGCCAGGGCTCCTACGGGGAAGTTTTCCTAGCGCTTCACGCCTCCTTGGGCCAGAGCCCTCAGCAGGACCTGGAGAGCACATGACAGCACGTTCTGTGTGTTACCATGGTATGTCGTAGCCATTTCAAAGCCGGCCACCCAGAAAGCGACATGAACACAGGAAACGGAGGATTCCAGGGTCGTGCTGGCGAGGGTGCGGGATGAATGACCCAGAGGGTTACTCAGATGGTGCAAGAGCTGTTGCGGGATGTCGGCAAGGACGCCGAGATGAATGCTACACATGCCACGTTCGATTACAACAAGGTCGTGGTGAGACGTGCGCAGACACAATGGGAGTCCAGTGCATGGCCTCTTCTCCACATGACTATCGCGCGAGTGTGTTCCATGCATGAAGTCCGCAGTATAGATCCCCCAAGATAAGGGGAGTACCCAGATTGCTGGTGGAGTTTCGCACAAAGAGAGCACGCCGAGGCTTGACCGGAGTTGCCCAAGTCAAACGGTCTGAGTCCGCCTTGGAAAGCATAGGTTGCAATGCTTGCAAGATTGATTGTAGGTATGCTGTGGAGTTGCACGGAGCAGCAGGTCGTTTGTGTGTGTGTGTGTGTTTGTGTGTGTGTGTGTGAAAACGCCTGGACATGGCGATCGCTCTGCTTTGCTCTTTCCTGAAGCCGGTCTTTGTGCAGCGGGACAGAAGGAGTGCGGAGGGGCTCTGTCCAATGAAGCTCCCCTCTGCACTCCAGGAAAACGTATCAAACGTGCCTGCAGGCATCCGCCCTGGATCCCAGTGGATGCACTTTACTCCTTTCATCTCATTTGCCAAAAAATTCATCGGCATCTCATGTCCTGCTCCTCTGTCTTTCCATCGTCTTGTCCTGTCGGTAGCTCGTCGCAGTCATTCGTGCCGTGCCAAAGAGAGAGCGCGCGCGCGCGGGTGTGTGTGTGTGTACACCCTGATTCTAAGCTAAGGGAAATGGTGAGGACCTGTTAACTTCTCGATTTTTCAGAAGCAGGGGAGCATCCCTATCACCTGAGCTGGATGCCCAACGAAGAGGGCTCAGGATGATAGCTGATACATGGAGACGTCCGAGTGCGTACCTGCTACCAGGCAAAGCCGACGGTCAGGATCTTCAGGATACCACGGTAAATTTATCATCATCGTTCTCTTCCAGATTATCTTCCTTTCCCTCAAGATCTTCTCCAGACTTAGGTTACAATCGACTATACGTCGACCTTTAAATCCGTGTGTGTGTGTGTGCGTTGGCACTGGGTCGACTTGTTGCCGAGCTGCGACGGGGCCCGAAACAAAAACGGACAAACAGAACTTCGCTGTCCTCCGGTCACCCCGTTTTCCTTCTTTGCGCACTGCAATCGACGGAAATTGGTTGCTACTGCTTTCTTCGCCACTCAGGTGTAGCCCGAGTGGTGAAATCGGTGTCGCACTCAGCCGTCATCCCATAATTTGCACTGCGCGAGCGCCGTTTCCTCATTCTCGAAGGGTGCCCAGTGTTCCATTGCCAGGTGCCAAAGAGCCAGTTGAGTGTGGCCGGCGAGCAGGTTGAGGTTGAGGCATCATGCCACCTGGCATGTGGCTGCAGATGGGAAGTGTGTGTCCAGCATCAGTCCAACTATGTCGGACCATGTCAAACCTATCACGCATATGCTGGCAGGTCAACATGCTCAAATCCTTGGATCATCCGCACATTGTGCGTGTCTTCGAGGTCCATCCCGTAGAAAGTGATGCGCTTCTGCACTGCGCAAAGCGAGGCCTTCGAGAGCGAGGAGAGCCTGCACATCGTGATGGACTATGCGGAGGGTGGCGACCTGGCCTCTGTGATACGAGAGACGGTGGACACGGAGACGCTGCTCCCACAGCCCTGGGTGCGCGAGGCGGCAGTGCAGATGGCATCAGCGTTGGACTACATGCACTCTCGGGGCGTTATCCATTGTGACCTGAAGCCTGGAAACACTATGCTCTTGACTCCTTTCAGCATGGAGGATGCAATGAATGGCTCCCGGCCACATGTATTGCTAGTGGACTTTGGCCTAGCAGAGATTTTTGATGAGCAGGTTGCACTAGGTGGACCTGCAACTGTGAAAGGCAGCCCAGCCTACCTCTCACCGGAAGGGTTTGATGGAAAACTCACACAGAAATCAGACACCTGGGCTTTGGGTGTAATGCTCTACGAGATGCTCGTGGGTGCCAGACCATTCCGAGGGACCAACAATATTTTCGTTTTATATTGCCAGGTTGCGAACAATGAGCCCGCCTTTGACAAAGTTCCCGAAGTTCCTCGATCTCTGGTCGTCGCGCTGATGGCAAAGGATCCTCAAGCCCGCATTTCCGCAAGGCAGTGCTTTGACCATGACTGGCTCCGATCGGCCCTCAGCGAGTTGGATGATCAGCTGCAGATGCCGGAGGGACTTGGCCGCCCAACAAGCTACTTCTACCGAGCCGTCGGGCACTGAGTGTGGAAGGTGAAGCTAGTGAAGCTAGTGAAGCGCATCGGCTTGCAGGGAATTGTTGCTCAGGTGACTTTCTGCATGGCTGCGGCCTTGGGCATGAAGGACCTGAGCCGGGACACGCAGCTCTTCGAGAACTTTGACACAGACAAGTCGGGCCAACTGGACACGGAAGAACTGAAAGCGGGCTTGGCCAGGTTGGGACTCCGACAGGAGACAGCTGTTTCAGTGCTCTTTCCCCGCATCATGTTCAGCGCGTGCTTTGTTCATCTGAATCTTGTTGACCTGGAGGATCCAAGTGGTCTCATGGCAGCTATGGACCTCGACCAGGAATCGCGCATCGGGGCAGGTGAAACTTTCACGGCTCTCGCATCTCAATGCAAGGATGGTCAGATCTCGTACACAGAGTTTCTGGCAGCGACCTTGTGTCTGGACGAGGTGCTGCAGGGTGTCTTTGACAGGAAAATCACAGAGCAAGCTGCGCGACCTGTGCTGTCACTGCAGGAGCGAGGGGAGCGCTTGATGAGATACGCGCTCCCTGACTCACTGATGCCTCCATGAACGGGATGTTGAGAGGTTGAAGTCAGAGCGCTTGCAAGGTTCGGCACTTTTGATCTGGACGGTGATGGCTACATTTCCATGCCAGAGCTCAGACAGCTCCTGTCAGGCTTGCCGGGAGCATTGCGCATTGATGCACGGAGCAAATTCAGCAGTCTGACGTGAGAGGTGAGGGAGTCCTAGTGGCAGATGTCCTCCCAGACGGACAGACAGTTGATGAGGCTTTGTGCTTTGACGCACTCGTTGTTTTAATCAGTATCCACCAGAGAAGTGCTTGTCGTGCAGGTTATGGAAGAGGTTTCCAGTGGTGAGGGTGAAATTTCGTTCTCAAGATTTCGGTCGGCTCCCCGGCGGTCTGCTCGGAGCGTGACAGTGCGGCATAGTGCACAGCCAGGACATACCTCACCCGCAGCTACCGGAGTCCTTCACCCAGATTCTCTGCAAGCAGCATGCTGATGTCAAGCGACCGCTTGCCAAGGTGCCGAGCGGCCGACGTCAGCGGTTATCCGCGGGCTGGCCATGGCCCCATGACCCCATGACCCTGCGGTCACCTTCGGCCGAGTGCTACAGTACGGAGTCGCCATTCGCGGTAGGCTGATGCCGGAAGCACCCATACAAGTAGGACCGTAGCTACCCACAGCCCCACAGTCTGCATCCCCAGCCAATAGAGGCATCCCAATGCAGCTAAGGTCCGAAATCGCACAAAAGAGCTAGATGTGGAACAAGGTGGGTCGAGAGCACGCCGGCAGAAAGACAGGGTTGCGCGAGCTCTTTGCCAGGAGATCTTGGCGATATATGTGACCAAGAAGATGAGATGGAGCCAGAGGCCAGTCTGCTCCTGGACAGCTTGAAGCCAGACTTCGCACTTTGAAGGATGCTTCCGATCTCATGAACCGCTTGGACGAAATCGAAGAGCACGAGGCCACCAGGCATACGAGGCCCTTGGAGGCTGCTTTCTGATCCAAAACAGGAAGAGAATGAGGACTCCTTGCCAGAAGAGGGACCTGGGCGCCGCAGCCTTTCGAAAGCTTCGGCTCTCTGCCTACCGGTCATCCAATCACTCGTGTCTGAATGTGCCTGACCCTTGCGCTTCTCATTGAAAAACAGATCATTTGTGCTGCACGGCCTCTTTGCATTCGGGCAAACCAGCCGGAGCTATGGAGGTGCTGGTACACGACGGCCGGAAGTGCTTAGATGGTTATCCGATGCTATTTTAGTCACATCCCCTTTCTGCAGGCTTTCAGTTCTGTGCAGGTGGTGCCTTCTTTTGCACGCTCCGAAATCCACACGAAATTGGCGGAGGTAGCTACACAGCTTGTCCCTTCCGCCCATCCACCTAGAGATTCGTCCATTCGCTTCGCAACTTGGATGGCTTTGTGTATCTTTGTGTCAAACTACGGGGACATGGTAATGGAGCACACTTCGATCGGCGTGGTTACATTCATTGGATTTCCTCGTTCTTGACTCATCATACGAGTGTTTGCATGCCGTGGTGAATTTCTGTTGGTTAAGGTGGGCTTCTGCGTGGCCCCACAGGCCGAGCTGTCGCTTGTCGTGTTCACGGACATGTTGCTGACACACGGCGCTGCTCCTGAGCTCGGTCTTCTGCGGCTGGCGGCTCAAGAAGGGGAGCTTTGTGTAGAAGCCAAGCAATGCGCGGTTAACATACGAATGCCCGCTCCTGCAAAGGGAGTGCAAGTGAAGAAACTGGTGACCAAGCTGCCGGAGTCATGGGAAGAGCACCAGGATGATTCCGGCCGCACCTACTACTGGAACTCTGTGACAGGCCAGTCACAATGGTTCCCGCCGCCTTTGGCAGCCAAAAGTGCCGAAACCGTCCGTAGCTTGATTATCCAGCACAATTTCAAGGCCGCTGACAAAGATGGAAGCGGCACCATCAGTAAGTCCGAGTTGGGCTTGATGTTGCGACGCATAACTCCAGACATGTCTCTCAAAGAGGTGGAGGACATGCACAAGTCCATGGATAAGGATATGGATGGTAAGGTCAGCTTTGCAGAGTTTAACACCTGGATAATGGCTGACAAACAGAAAAAGCTGGCGGAAAGGCTCACGAAAAACGTGTCCTCACCTGCCAATGCAGTTTCTGCAACTTTCCGGATCTGGGATACGGATGGCAGCGGCAAGCTAACCGAAGCCGAGGTAACAAGCGTGCTGCAAAAGGCAATACCCCACATCACCAACGAGTGTCTGCAAACCATTTTCGGTGAGTTGGATTCGGACAGGAAGCCCGTCTGCATTGTCCTCTTGTTCCTGAACCGGCCAGTATTGGGTGGACGAAGCACATGGGCTTTCCCGTAAAAAAACCCCTGTCCAGGGCAGCATGTAGCCGGCACACGGAAGGGCGAAGAAGTCTGAGCGGAACGCTTTACAGCCGCTTACTAATAGCTCAATCTCAGTTGACAGCACTCGCAATACGTATCCCAAAGCTAGCCGTGCAAAAGCCCTCGGGCGCGGAAGATGGAAGGCCTTGTGCATGGTCATCGAATATGAGGCAGCACCACATGAAGTAATGGCATCCTCAATAGCGCACAGCAGCTTCCTGAGGTAAGATATTGGTCATGCAATCCTCAGGGGTCGAAGGGCGCACCAGAACATGTGTGTCTGCTCTCGCCAGTGAGGAGCGGTTGCGTCGACGTGAATGAATTTGTTGCATTTCTCTACGGCGGTGCTGGAGCCAAGGCATCCTTGGACAAGGCAGGGAGTCAGGTTGGTGCATTCTACTGTACCTACAAGGGTCCACTCATGTCCATTCTAAAGACGCTTTCAAACACAGAGAAATCTTGGTTTTTTGGGGAACCCAAGGACAACGACAAAGATCAGTCAAAGCAAAGGGTAAAGCAAGTGCGGAGTGTTCGCCGAAGCTTATCGTGAGGCGGCTGTTGCTCGACGACCCGGGTGGGCAGAAGTCCCGGATAGCAAAGCGGCCAGCGCCGCGCATGCAACGCCGACAGCACCCAGTCTCGAGGAGCGCAGGCCGCCGGTGCCGGTAAAATGAAGAGCCTTGTGTGTGACCTACAAGCAAGGCATAGCAAGGGTTCAATGTGTGTTTCGTTCCGGCTCGGAGGCCATGGACGTTCTCCTTTGTAAGATAGTACGGAGATAGTACGGAGATAGATGACGAGAGATCAGGTCGAGGCACTTTAGGCCACGTCTCAGTGATCTCCAGACGTGCGGCACAGGATGCCATCGTAGGTGCTGAGAGCCCTTCCTCAAGGGTTTTTAACGTGGGGGGTGGAATGTGTGTTTGGAGTTGATACATCAATTTAAGATGCATGTGTCTGGCATGCTGATGCAGAGTGCCGTTTCAATCCTCATCGCCCGCCCCAGCTGCTATGCAGCCGCAAAATTTCACAAAATGGTTTCTCAAGTTCGGTCCAATGTTTTTGCAGTGGCCTGGCGTTTGGATCAGTCAGGCGTGCAACTGTACAGGTAAGAAGCTTTCTGTTCATCGCGAAATGTTTCACCTGATATTTGAGGGGACATGCCTCCGTAAGTGGCTTAAGGCCCGTTTTCTGTGAATGCGCGGCATGGTGGCATGGATTGCTCGACAAAAACTAGAAGGTGCAAGACGGCCTGAGCTTGGCTCGCTTTTGCTGTCATCTGCCCATGTGAGCGCTTGTCTGCTCCAGGGCAGCTGGAAAACTCAAGCGAGGAATTGCTGGGCTTCCACCAGTGGTTGGACGACCTCTTTCAGGAAGCTCGGCACACACACAATCCTCAAAATGCATTGGTCATGTCCCTCAAATCTGCAGAGCACGTAGCTCTTCAGAGACGTTTTTTTTCAGCCTTGTTTCCCGGATATGATTTTTATAATTATGGCCCCTGGGATTCGGACCGCACCACCCGATCAGTGTGATAATGCAAGGCAGTCCGAGATATGGCTTATTTTCCAAATCGATGCAATGAGGCTGTTGTTGTCCTGGCATGAACACACATTGAACTTGTAAAGTGCCAGAGCAAAGCAACAACATTTCATTGCTGGCACTGAAAAACGGAGAGGCTTCTGGGTTCAAAAGCAGGATCTTTCAAGACACCCTTAATTTTCATGGTTCCATCATGCTCCTAAGCAGAACGACAGTTAAGTTGCCCAAACTGCTGTTCCAGCCTACAACAGAGAGGTGCCGCCATCTTCCACTGATTTAACCCGCTCCTACGATTAGTAAACCCTCCCCATATATAAACTTGATCAATTCATTTGGGCCGGAATGCGTCCGAAGAGGGGCTTTGAACGGGCCAAGAGGACAATACAATTGTGTTGTCTTGTCTAATCTAGCGGAGTCCAAACCACGGAATGTGGCGCCTCCCAAAATCATGAATTCGAGGTGAAACAACTGCATGGTTTTTGCAGCCAAGAATTGCCAGTCGCCCCTCTGGGACCCTCTTTAGCGCGGGCCAGGATGTGATTTTCAATCCATGCCACACACTCTGCATCGGGCCTGTTCGCCCTGAGACTAGTCAAGGGCACATCTTCGGAGATCTCTGATTCTTGCTCCGTGAGGGGACGATAAAAGGCTGCAGTCTGCGAGGAGTACCGGAAGGCAGCCCACTGGGCTTGTCGGAGGCTACGCTCGCGCGTGGTTTCTGCATGCTCCACTTGTCGTATCTCAGCAGTGGTGAAAGGCGGAAACAGGTACGAAACCTTTCGCAAACAGGAGTCATGCCGTTTCAAGTGATACGGCACTTGTTGAACACTGCCTAACCATGTGTGGCAACTGTGGCAGTATGGATCCAAGGCATAATGGCGGGCCGGAGTCCAAATCTGCCGTGTATGGGGGAGGTGGACACTTGGGTGTTTCCTGAGCTTTACGCCTTCGCCACACACCGGGCAGGTAAAAACACCCGAGCGGTGGCCATGCCTTGGGAATGCCACAGCAACGTTGCGTGATCGTAGAAGCCTCCATTTCTCGAGCTCTTTGTGGTCTTCAAGCTTGACTTGTCGTAACCACGAGCGCGGTTCTGCACAAAGAGAGTCAAGCAGGCTCTCAACTACAGGAACCAATGAGGGCATCTGTGGCCTCCGGCTTATAGAGCCCCACAATGTTCACATCAGAAGCAAGTTGCGACAGCCAAGAGGAGGCGGGGTGCAGACACCAGTGCTCAAATAACATGCGTCGTAAGGAGCGAGGGCCTGCGGCCCCCAAGAAGACCGCCCTGGCCTCGAGTGGTGGGGGAGGCGCCTGAGTGAGTGCACATGTTGTGATGGGCCTTTACACCTCATCAGCGAGCGCCAGACCCGGATGTACGCCCGATCCCAAATGCGGATGCTGCGCTGCTGTCATGAGCACGCCAGCGCTAGTATTTACAAGTTTGGAAACGGCGAGTGCATGAAGAAGGGCGCGACGGATTTGGATCGAAACGGATGCTGAGCTGTAGAGTTGCTTACGGTGTGGTTTGACGCTGCCCGTGGCTCTGGACTGCCGAAGGAGAATGTCAGGTTGGGGTGTAGCATTGGAGGTCAAAAAGCCACTCAGGTGACGGTAAGCCTGAACAACAGGCAGGCGATGACTCTCAAGTGTCAGTGGGTCGGTGACTCTGACACCCAATTCTCCTGCAACTTCAACAACCATGACCACTGGGCAGCAAGATGGCAGTCTTCTCCTTGGCGAAAATAAGGTGCATGCCGATGGAGCTGGCTAAGCCGAGGGCCTGCTCGGTGGCGCATCGGATCCGGCAAAGGACATCAACCTTGTCTTGCCCTGTCTGTGGCAAAAAGAACTCGTCAGCCCAGGCAGGGGCACTTGGGTCCGCACTTCAACTGGAGTTGGCTCACTGGTGTTCTTGCTTGCATCGCGCAAAACACGGTACAAGCTCCAAATCCACGAGTCGGGCT